GTGCGGTCTAAGGAAGAAGATGGCGGCCATAGCCACTGAGCTCGGACACGGAGAAGACGAGTAAAGAACAAAGAGAAGGGACGAAGAGAGGGAGAGAATCATAGCTGAGGTGGAGGAGGAAGGAGAGAAAGAAGAGGGAGAAAGAGAAACCATACCAGGGGGTGAAGAAGATCGAGACGAAGGCGAGAAAGAGGCCATAGCTGAGGGAGGACGAAGAAGGTGCAGTAAACCGCGTTCAGCAGCGGCCTGGGCGCTGTAACCCAAGCCCAGGCCCAGCGAGCAGTGCGACCACGCGCTTTACTCGGAAGGAGGATTCAGGACTGTACTCGGAAGGAGGATTCAGGACTGTGGTTGGGGTCGTGATATGTACCTGAGACCGAGCAGCGCGTGGTCGCACTGCTCGCTGGGCCTGGGTTTGGGTTACAATGCCCAGGCCGCTGCTAAACGCGGTTTACTACATTCCTGCCGGCCCGAATTCGAGTTCCACCGCAGAAATACTTAAGACTTCAGTCCGCGTTCATAGCTAGCAACAATATTAGGAGCAGTATCCATCAGTTCCCGTCTGCTAAACCAATGGTCTTCAGAGGCATCTTGGAATTGGAATCTCACTTTATACTGCTTCTGAGGTCGGCCTCTTCCACCAGTAGAATAGAATCCATGGTCAGTAATTTTCTCAACCACATAGCCACCATTCATAGACGGAGGTATAGCAGATGGTCGGTGAGGAAATTTTGTTCCTTCTACATATGGAAGCAGTTTAGACGCGTGAAAGACGGGGTATGTCCGAAGATGAGGGGGAATATCAATCCGGTATGATGGTCCATCTGCATCCCCTATCACCTTGAGAACTTCCCAGGGTCCTAGATAGACAGGCATCAGTTTCTTAGTAACATCTTCTTCTACAGTGAACTCTTTGGACTTAACCCAGACTAAGTCACCAACTTGAAAGGTAGACGGACGTTGGTGTTTGTTAGCTTGTTCAATCATGCGTTCTTGGGTTTTCCTCAGATTCTCCTTCACCTTTTTGATGTCTTCTTGAAACATAATTGCATATTCTTTTATCCCTGGTGGAAGTCTAAGAAACTGGTCCCTGGTTAAAACATCAATGGGACGCTTAGGCTTCCAGCCCTTGTGCAGTGCGTTAGGTGTGCGTCCCGTCATGGTATGCACACTATTGTTATATGCACCGGCAATCTTGGGTAAGTTCTCATCCTAGTCTATCTGGTCAGGACGGACATACATTCTCAGAAGTTGTTGGACCATACGGTTCATCTGCTCAGACTGACCATTCGTTTCAGGGTGTCTACCTGACGACATGGTGAGCCGTGTACCGTAGGCCTCCATCAGCTTCTGCCAAGGCATGCTTGTGAACCTGACATCGTGGTCAGATACGATAGACATGGGAAACCCATACTCAGTTACCCATCGCATCTGAAATTTAGCAATCACAAGCTCAGTCTTGGCCTCTGCAGGCAAGGGTATGAACATGGCATATTTAGAGAAACGGTCAACCACAACCATAACTTGACTATTGCCATTTCGGGACTTGGTGAGTTTCATGAAGTCTATGGACACAGACTCACCTGGCTCACTCGGAATAGGTAGTGGTCGGAGTAACCCCAGAGGGTTCTCATGAGACGGTTTGTTTCTCTGACATACCTGGCACGTACGAATATACGTTAGCACATCCTCTTTCAAACCCTTCCATTCATAGTGCTCACGCACCTCAGCATATGTCTTCTTGAAACCAAAGTGTCCCTCTGTGTCATGACATTCCTCAATCAATAGACTTTTAAGTTCTTCCTTGTGAGGAATACACAATCTTTGTTCAGTCTGGTCCAACAAGAAGAGTAAGCCATCAGACAATCGATAGTGGGGAAGTTGGGATGGGTCCTTGGCTAGGATATCCATGATTGGTTTCCAGACAGGGTCAGTGGCATATCCAGCGTGAATCTGATCTTTCACATCATTCCCAACATCCAGGTAAGAGACTATAGCCCCAAAGAAATCACTCCTCCTAGATAGTGCGTCTGCTACAACATTAGACTTTCCTTTAATAGTTTTGAGTTCAAAATCGAAGGTATCAATAAAAGCACACCAACGCACCAACTTGTCAGACAATCGCGGCTCTGTCTTGATCCACTTGAGGGTCGAGTGGTCCGAGTACATAGTAAAATGTCTGCCAAGGAGATAGTGTTTCCATGTCTCTAGGGCGCAGACTAATGCATACAACTCCCTTTCATAGGTGGAGTTGGCGACCTTTTCACACGGCAGACGTTTATACATAAACTCAACAGGGCGGTAGCCCTTGCCGTCATCTTGCTGTAAGACAACACCAACACCGTACTGACTCGCGTCAGTCGTAACAATGAAAGGAAGAGACGGGTCGGCAATCTTGAGGACAAGATAGTGAGTTAGCACATGTTTCAGCTTTCAAAACGACGAATCACAATCCTTATCCCATAGCCAGACAATACCTTTCTTAAGTAACCTTTTCATCGGTGCAGCGATAACAGAGAAGTTTCTAACGAACTTCCTATAGTAACTAGCCAAATCAAGAAAAGATCGAAGGTCTGTCAGAGTCTTTGGCTGTGGCCAATCTCTAGTGCCGAGATCTTCTTTTCCTCGGGCCTCAATCCCTCCTCGTTCACTATGTGTCCTAGGTATAAGACTTCAGACTTAGCAAACTCGAATTTCTTTGAGTTGAGTTTGAAGTTTCCCTCGCGTAACTTCCCGAGTACTAGACGTAAATATTTATGGTGGTCTTCTAGTGTTTTACTGTACACTAGAATGTCATCCAGATAGACGATGACGAAGTCGTCGAGCCATTGCCTAAATAACTCGTTCATTGATCTTTGGAAGGTCGCAGGTGCGTTCGTTAGACCGAATGGCATCACGATGAACTCGTAATGACCATATCTCGTACGGAACGCGGTCTTATGTTGATCGGCGGGATCCACCTCGATCTGGTGGTACCCAGACTTAAGCTCGATCTTGCTAAAGACCTTACAACCCTGCAGCTGATCCAAAAGATCGTCGATCCTTGGCAAAGGTTCGACGTTTTTGACGGTGACGGCATTAAACCCTCGGTAGTCAATGCAAAGGCGCAACTCACCTTCCTTTTGCACCATAAGGAGAGGAGCTCGGGCGAATCCATCCCTTCTCTGTCAACTCAGACAATTGTTTCTTAAGTTCCTCAAGTTCCCTTGGAGACATGCGATAGATAGGGACCTTGGGAACCGTGCCACCTGGCACGATCTCGATCGTGTGCTTGATAGCACGCGAAGTGACCCCGGTAGGCTCAGACATAACATCGGCAAACTCTGTTAGGAGTGCATCTATGCCAGGAGGATGGGTAGTTGAAGACTCACCTACTTTCTTAACTAACAACATGACTACCTCATCCTCTAACTTCTTCTTTGCAACCATCGATCGGAATGCAGGGTAGCTCATGCAACAGAAAGACAAGACAGAATCAGACCCTGACCGATGATACAACTTAATTGATTGCAATTCAGACGATTCATCCTTGATTCGTACTTCTTTCTGTTTGAAATCAATCTTGGGATCAGCTTCCTCGTGCCAATCCATTCCCAAGATGATATCAAATGGCATGTTCTTCTCGGTTAGAAAGGGAAGCTCATGCCAAATCTTCTTCCCATCCTTAGTACTGAACTGACATCGAACACGATCGACGTATTGCGTTACCATCATCGTGCTTTTGTCAGCCAGCATAGACGTGATTGGTCTAGCTAACGTTTGGATCTTCATGCCGAGGTGCAACTTGCGGATTGCACGTTCAGACATATAAGATCGTGTGGATCCAGGGTCCAGCATCGCACCAACGTGTGTGCGATTGACAACCAAGTCGGCAATCAATAGTTCCCCCTTAGACTTGGCTTTCTTCGCCCACGAACTGCATAACGCGACTAGCTCGCTACCCAGCTCGTCAAGGGAGTCGTCCAGAGATAGGCATAAGACAGGAGTGGGGTTATCTGAACGACGGGCGGAAGGGTTTCCATCCTCTGCCACGGGAGTCGGAGTGCGGAAAGGGATCGTAGGCGCCTCGCATGTGATCGCACCCTCCGACTCTGTAGGAACATATGTTATTCCTACAGGCTGCTCCCTTTTGGGTTTCTAATCAAAGGACAATAGGCAATGACATGCCCCGCAGTGCCACACTTGAGGCACTGTGCATTGTCCATCCTATCCTACCATACTTCCCGGGTTAATCCCATCTTCAGCCATGGTCTTCCGGCCGCAATCCCAGGATGGTACGGGAAGGAGCGTGGTCTTCCCTTCGGCCGATTGTTCGATGACGGTCCTCCCTTGTTGACCGTCGCAGCGGTGACCTCCCCCTTTCCGGGGTCACTGTTGCCATCACCACCACCCTCGTTCTCCAATGGCCATTTCTCCATTGTATCGTCGTCAAATACGACGAGGGTATGGTCCTGGTGCTTTTGGCGCCATAAAACCCGCTTGCCGTAGCCTCCTCGACTGCCTCCTCCTCCATTCTTTACGGCAACAGCATAGGAACCTTTGACTTGCGAAGTCATTTGTTCCCGCTGTAACGCCAGGTTGCGGAACTGACGGTAACTATACTTACCGGACTTGGCCTCGGCGACCAAGTGCCCCCGGATAGGTTCGGGCAATGCATGTGAGTAAATGTAAAGGACCTGAGAGTCCTGCAGGTTAAGACCGGGAACCTGCAACAGTCGGTCAACCTCATGAGACAATGACTCAACTGAAGACCAGGACTTCTGTCCTATCGTGGTGAGTTGGTCGAAGGCCTTATCGGCCATAGTCTTGTCCAAAAAGCGGTCCTTGACTTTTGCAAGGAACTGCTTCAAGGTCATAGTCTTCGCCCACTCACCTATATCATCAAACCCCGTGGCATTTGCTTCCGCCAGAACCCATTGCTTCACCTCACCCCCCATACAAGAAGTGGTGAACACAACTTGCGACTCTTCTTCAACCGGTGCGGTCCCAACATAGGTCTGGATCTCTGCGATCTAGAGTGGAAGGTTTTCTTCTTTCTTATTAGAAAAAGTAAAAGGCAATTTCACCTTCACCTTTTCTTTTTTCTTTGGCTTAGTCGGATCTGTGGGTTTGGCATTGTCCTTAGGAGGGGGAGTGGGACCGTTGGGACCACCATTCCCATTTCCGTTCCCGTTCCCATTCCCGTTTCCATCACCATTCCCGTCGGGTTTCTCCTCCGGTTTCTTCTCTGGTTCCTTTTTCGTTTCCTTTTTGGAGGCGTCGCCGTCTTTCATTCCGCCGATGCGCAACTTATCAATCTTGACGTCATTTTTTTAATCCTCGTTTCCTTTTTCTTCCTCATTTTCAGTCAAAGGGGCTTTCCCCTTAACGATGTTAGTGATGACGTGGAGACCAACAACCAATTCATCCATTCTATTCTGCTGTCTGAGGCTTTAATTTTCTTAGTTACATCCGTGAAACAACTTTAGGAACTCATTGAGGGGAGTGATGGTGGAATATGCCACCATATCATTGTCACATTTAGCGGCGCGGGCTAACGACCTGGCGAAGCTAGACGCTTCTCTCTAAGTTCATGGAACGCGACAAGGACTCGCTCCTCAGGGATAATATCCTGGAGGTGCACGCAGGAATTGATGTTGGCTTCTCAATTATCAACATCTTCCTCCTGTTTCCCGCTGTAGGCATCAGGAAACTTTACTTTTACTCGTTCCCTTCGCAGGCGTGCCTCTTCCTCCTTTGGGACTGCGAGCTTGGCACCCTCTATGGCGCCAACACAGAATTGTTATGTGTTCTCATACGGGCCTGCATCACAGAGCCCATCCGCATCATCATATCGTGGGCAAAATCTTTAAAGCCTACTCGGATGGACTGTAGGGCTATGTCATGGCCCCTTGAGGTATGCATCTACTCCTGTTGGATGCGGATCAATACATCTATACTCTTTGCGATTGCATCCAACTTGCTCTGCAAGTCCGCTTGTGCTAGCACGTTAGTATGCTGTTCTGATGTGGCAGCCAATTCCTTCTCTAACTCAGTGGCCGCCGCTATGCGCTTCCTTCTTTGCCTCCTCAGTCGCAATTTCCACTCCATTCTTTTCTTTCTTCCAGGGCCTGCTGCTCTAACGGATATGTCACGGCCTTTATCTCTGCCACAACAGCATCCCTCTCGTCCTAGGGGATGTACATCAATGCTTCTTCATCCTCCCCCAGGGATAAGTTAGCCACCCATTCCGACACCATCTTCTCCAGTTTCTTCTCATCTTTCCCACTGGATTCCCCTTTTTCCTCTCTCCTCACAGTCCTCATTAGGGGTATCTCCTCTTCTTCTTCTTCTTCTTCTTCTTTAAGCTTCTCCTCATCTTCTCTCTTCACCCTCTCCATCTCTTCCTCAAGCTTCTTCTTCTTCGCCGCTTGTGCTTCATATAGGGCCTTCTTCTTGACCTCCTTCTCTTTTCTTTCTTTCAGTATGGTGGCGACACTCTCTTCCTGCTCTTTTGTATATGGGGTGGTGCTCAAACCGTGACGCGTGTCAACCATGGTGACAGGTGTACAACCGAATGACAATTTCACTCCTCACCACTTAGACTCTCACCCCCTGACTGACTTAACTTATGATTGACTTACTAAGGACCACAAAATCCTTGGAGAACCCTGCCAACTATGGTCTCTAGCCTAACTTTACTTCTAGGCTGTCACTACACGACTGATCAGGAGGCATTTAAGGAGATTCCCCGTAACTCCTCAGGAATTATTTAACGTCGCAAACAGGACGACGCGATCAGCATGTCCTCTCAAGACGTAGACAGCTCGTTGTGCAGCCCATAGCTTAGATTTTGGGCCTATCGTGCCACACTGAGGGGGTACACGCATGATTGGGCGCATACCCACACATTAGAAAGCTTTATGGACTTAGTGGAGGCTCGTTGGCACAACCCTCAGCAGGCACAAATTGCCACTGATGGGCTCTTGAAACTTGATACTAGAAAGTACAAGTCTGTGCGAGAACTCACCACGGTCGTAGAGCGTCTAATCGTTGTCCCGGGAGTGGAGTACAATCCAGAGGTCCGGTTGACCATGTGCCTGAGATGTCTTCCCACAGACATTAGGAATCTATTAGTCAGCGAGGCTCGCAGAGAGTACTACATGTTAGGAAGGTTTTTTTACTTGAGAACTGACCATCAGACACTCAAGTGGATCAAGACTCAACCAGTTCTCTCCGATGCACTCAAACGCTGGATTGAAGTCATAGATCAATATGATTTCAAACTAGACTATTTGAAGGGAGAGTACAAAAAGGTTGCAGATGCGTTGTCTAGGAGGGCAGACTACCTAGGTGCGCTGATTTCTGAGTTTGGTTTGTCTGAGGACGTGACTCGATCGTTGGATGAGGCCTACAAGGAAGATCCCATCACGATGGACATCATCAACAAACTACAGGCTAAAGATAAGGCCACCACTGATGAGTTTGTGATGGTGGATGGGTTGCTCTTTCTTGAGAAGGCAGGGTTCAAGAGGTTAGTTGTTCCATTTAGAGAGACTTTGCGTAGTTTATTTTTAGGTGAGTGCCACGGCGCAATGGGACAGTTCGGCTATAAGAAGACGAGTGCTAATTTAGTACAACGGTTCTGGTGGCCCAACATGCTTGACGATGTGAAGAAATACGTGGAGACCTGTCAGGTCTGTCAGCGGGACAAGCCGTGGACTCAAGCTCCGCTTGGGTTACTCAAGCCTTTACCCATTCCTGCTGGCCCAGGGCAGAGTATCTCCATGGACTTCATGGATACTCTTGTGACCAGCAAGAATGGCAAGAGGCACATCTTTCGTCATAGTGGATAGGTTCACTAAGTACGCTAGACTAATCGCCATGCCAGAGACTGTCAGGATTGAGCACGTCATCAAGTTGTTCATGGACAACTAGGTGCATGATTTTGGATTGCCTAAGACTATCGTTAGTGATAGAGATGTCCGTTTCACTAGTGAGATGTGGAAGAAGGCCACTGAACAGATGGGAAGCCAGCTTCAAATGACTTCTGGGAATCATCCTGAAGCAAATGGACAGGCTGAACAGATGAACCGAGTGGTGCAGCATCTGCTAAGGCATTACATCAAGCCCAACCAGGATGACTGGGATGAGAAGTTACCTCTCATCGCCTGTCTGTACAACAATGCTGTACACAGCACCATTGGTGTCAGTCCTAGCCAACTACATCTGGGATGGAAGCCTACTGAAAATCGAACTGCTGCAACTCCTGGAACCATCGAATTTGGTGTCCAGTATGAGAAACTGCTGCAGCAGACTGTCGAACACATAAAGAAATCTCAGGAGGTCATGATTGCTTATGAGAACAAGCGTCGTCGACAGTCCACATTTCAGGTAGGGGAACGTGTCTGGGTCAAGGCTAGTGAACTGGGACAGGAGTTTGGCATCTCTAGGAAACTAATGCCTCAGTATCTCGGTCCCTGGGAAGTCCTGGACATCGTGGGGAATGATTTGGATGGTCCCTCGTACGTTATTTGTATCCCTGGTCACCTACGCACTTACCCTGTTTTCCACGCTTCCAAACTTGCACCTTTCGCTGAGACAGCACAGTTCCCATCACGGAGATCTATGCTGCCCCCAACCATGGATGGCCACGTGGACGTCGACGACATCCTGGATCACAGAGATACGCCTGTTCCTAAGCCACCTGGCAGGGGAAGACCTCCCAAACCTGCGAGGGAATACAGAGTACATTTCAGGCATCATACAGATCCGAAGGAAGATC